TTTTACAAAATTAGACAACTAACACTTTGTCACTCTTAATTAAGTGCCACTCAGTCTTGGGACAAACCCTCATTTCCTCTTCCAAAAAGACTGCCACTTTAAAGCTCCTTTTAGAAAAATTCTGGAGCTATAGCTGGTCCTCATCTTCACAGAACTTGAAGTCTGGTGAGAGAGACAGGTGTTAAATACATACATAAACTCACATGTAATTACACTGTGTAATTAACACAATTAGTTAACATTGCGATAATGGTTGTAAAGAAAATAAATGGAGGTCATCAAAAAATAAAGAATGAGTGGCCAGGGAAGGGCTTTTTCAAGAACTGATGTATACTCATCTAAGCTGAGGGCTGGATTGGTAAGAAGCTAGCCAGGTGAGGGAAAAAGGGAGGAGACAGAAAGAACAGGTTTTGCAAAGGTCCTGAGGCAGGAAGGAGTTTGGTATGTTTGGGGAACTAAAAGAAGGCATATTTAGATATGGATGAGATAAGGTGGGGAAACAGATGTGGGGTAAGAAGAGGGTGATGGTGGAGGAGTGCCAGGAAGGGGGGAGTAATGGGCAGGCCCAACACTGGACCTTGTAGGTCAAGGAAGTTCACATTTTATTCTCCGTGAAATGGGAAGCAATCGGAAGCCTTCATCAAGAGCTGTATTCTGAGTCATACACAGTAATAAACTCTGGCTGCTGTGTGAGAAAGGACTGGAAAGGTGTGAAGGTTGAAAGCAAGGAAATTCTTTGGGGGCTAAGGCGGTATCCCAGGTGAGAGAAGGAGGTGGCTTAGGTATTTCTAAGAGCAGTAGCAATGGAGAGATGTGAAAGGATTTGAAATGGACTACATATTTGATTGGAAAGAATGACTCCTAGGTTTCTGGTTTCTGGTTTGAGCACTGGGTGGGTAACTATCTTTTTTTTTTTTTTAAAGATTTTATTTATTTATTTGATGTTAGCTGCAGCCATAATGGACAGGTCACGAGGGGAGGTTGCATTTGGCTTAGCGTTCTTTTCCTTTTTTGGGATCCCAGACACCTTGAAGAAGCTGATGAAAGCTATACTTCTTCCTTTAAAAGTTTTTGCATTGCAGCTTAAGAAATTTATAGACCCCTTGAAGCCCATCCATAGCTCCTGTGAAGTTGATAGATGACAAATTAAACAAAGAGATGATAAAACTTGTGTAGAGAGGGACATGTACCCGGACTGAGCCCTGGGGACCAGCACCATTTAGAAGTAGGCTAGAGGAAGCACCCACCCACTAGCGGTTGAGAGGGGTAATGAAAAGGGAGGGGCGATTCCAGAAAGAAGTTATGGAAACTAAGAGAAAAGTGTTTCAAGGATAGGAGGTAAATCCTGAAGACAAGTTCTGAAAAGCGTCAGCTAGAATTGACAACAGATGATCTTGGGGAGGCCCAGGACCATACCTGTGAAGGGTGAGCTCTCTTGGGAGCAGGCACTGACCCTCTGCTGACTAGCGTGAAGGACAGCCACTGGGTGCAGTTAATGTGTGGGTGTTTCCTCTTGGTGGGGTCTGAATGGCAAGGTAACGGTGAATAAGTGAGGCAAGCACGACTGGGGTCTTGAGGGTGGAGGAGATGCCACATGGTCCTTGTGGAAGGTGAAGTCAGACCTTCGGGGGAGGACTGTTGTCTATTTGGTGCTGTGATCTGGGCTAGGTCTTAAGAGAGAGCAGGATCAGAGGAGGGAGGGGCTGGGCCCTGTGTGAGCAGCTGCAGGGCCCAGACTCATCATGGGTGTAGAGTCAGCAAGTCTCCCAGAACTTCTCAGGACTTGCTCCACTCTTTTTCTACCCTTCTTGGCCTTCTCCTCCTTTCCTGGCTCTGTCTTTTCCCTGAGCCCAGAAACAAGCTCAGGCCTTTCCTAGTGACTCAGCATCTCCTCCTGTCAGTGTCCAAATTCTCTTCTTTTGTCCCCAGGACATCTGTAGCAGAGAATTTCTTGAAATGTTCAATTGCTTTTTTTCTTCCTACAGTTTTCCCTTGGCCGGCTGGGTGTTGCCTTGCCCTGGGGATTTTGGCTGCTTCTTGAAGCCCGGGGCTCTTCTGGGGCTTTGAAAACCCTCAATGCATTGACAGGTTCATGCTGGATGCCTTGGAGGGCACCCAGGCAGCCAGAGAAGACAGGGGGAACTTGTGCAGCATTTTCAATGAGAGCACATTTCAGGTAGTTCACTCTGGAGGCTGAGTGGAGGCTGAGTTTGCCTGAAGGCCACTGTCAGGCAGCTGCTACCAGGGATGGCGCAAACCACACCAGTGGGAATGGAGGTAGGGATTTGAGGCTTATTAAGGAGGTGAAATAGGACTGGGTTACTTGATAAGGCAAAGGGATGAATCAAGGTTTCTAGCTTTCTCATTCTGAGGATAGTAGGTGCTGGTGGGGACCACTGAGAGAGAGCCCACATGGAGTTAGTGGATGGGTTCAGTCTCTCCAACATGCTGAGTTTGGGGGGGCCTGTGTGATGTATCCAGATAGAGCTGCCAGGCAGGAAGGCAGGCAGGCAGTCGGAGAGTTGGGTCTAATTTTTGTGAAAGAGGTCTGGGCTGGAGAGGGCTGACCCAGTAGTTGAAACCATGAGGATGGAGGCAATGCCAGGAGAGTGGAGTGAGAGGAGCTGTGGGGCTTACAGGGAATCTGGCACATAAGGTGCAGACTCACAGCTGGTGTCACTTAAGGATGTCACCAGAGGAGGCAGGGGCCTTATTTACTGAGACATGAGAATTGGGAGTGGGCACTCCTTTGGAATCCAAGATAGTATTGAGATTCCAGAAGGTGAGAGCGATCTGGAAGTGTCAAAAGGAGCAGAGAGATCCAGAGAGATAGGCCTGAGAAGTAACTAACTGCCCACTCTGGGAAAATGAAGGTAAGAGTTACTCCTGCCCTAGCAGGGTTAGGAAAGGGGATGTGGGTGGGGAGAAGCCAGACGGCCAAGTGTTGAGAACTGAGGACTTGGTGGGGGAGGGGACGACAGGACAGGAGGGCACGCGCACACATACCGTTTAAGAGCCTGTGTGAGAGGGAGAGAAGCACTTGGTAGCTAACTGGAGAGGGCAGTCGGAGTGGAGGGCTGGGACCAGAGTTTGGTTTTTAGACGTGAGACCTGAACTTGTTAAAAGGCTGAGGGGAGGGGCACCTGGGTGGCTCAGTGGGTTAAAGCCTCTGCCTTCCGCTCAGGTCATGGTCCCAGGGTCCTGGGATCAAGCCCTGCATGGGGCTGCCTGCTTCCTTCTCTCTCTCTGCCTGCTTCTCTGCCTACTTGTGATCTCTGTCTGTCAAATAAGTAAGAATCTTAAAAAAAAAAAAATAATAATAAGGCTGAGGGGAAACAGCCTGGAGCCAAAAAGCCAGGAGAGGTGGGGAGGAGGCTTTGAGGGCTCAATCGCACCAAGTTAGCTTCTTAGAACTTGCCACGCTTCCACACCCCCTATCTTCTGTCATCATTTGAACACTGTGAGGCTTCAAACAAAGGTGAGACTGTGCCCAGGGGCTGTGAAGAGAGATGCGCACCTACTAGGTGCAGTATGCTGTCTCCACCACGTGAGGAAATATGCATGGAAACTGTTCAGCTCCACACAGCTTAGGGGGCCAGAAGCAGCGGGCTCCTGGCTCCCTGCGCTGTGGACTCGGGGCAGTTGCTATCCCAGATGAGGTGTCAGCATATGTCACGGAGCCCGGGTAGTAACCCCAGAGAAGTGTCACCATGTGCTACCAACCAGAGCCCGAGTGTTTCTCCGCTTCCTGCGAGGTGCCTCTTAAGTGCGGTGGACCAGGGGTCGGGCAGGCGCGCTACCTTCCCTTTCTCACGTTCAAGCAGCTAAGAGTTCTGTTAGCCGCAAGGTATAACACCACCACCACCACCACCACCACCGATGGCGGAGCTTCAGGGGAGCGGGCGCGGCAGGCTGGGGCCAGAAGACTGCCAGAGCACTAGGCTGCAGGTGGCGGGGCGCGCCCCCTGTGCGCGTCGCCAAAGGGACGCCGCGAAAACCAAACGCGCGATTTGTATATCCGGCCGGGGCCCTGCTCCGAGATAAAGCTCCTGCGGAGGGAAGTATTTAATTCGCCTCCCGCGCCATCGGAAGAAACTCCTTTACGCCGGAGGCAGTGGGGTGGGCGCATAGGAGCTTTCTCCTGCGTAGGGTTTCCAATCCTCCGCCGGAGGCCCTGTGCGCTGGGCTGGTTGTCGAAGGCGAATTACAGTTTTTTGTTTGTTTTTGGAAGGGGGTGGTGGCGCTCTTAAGGAATAAAGAAGACCTGGAGTAGAACCAGGGTCTGGTTTTCTCTCCGTTGTAGCACAAGTTTCCACCTTGACCTTGACTCTGGGCAAGTCTATTCTAGGTCCCTCGCTGGTCCTCAGTTTCCCTGTTCATTAAATGGGGATCTGTACTATGATCTTGTTTTTGCACGGCCAGGGTGGCAATTTCCACCTCCTCCAGGACAAAAAACCCCTCCTCCGCTGGTAACCTCGCCTCCTCAGGACGTAGCTCTTTTGAAAGGTCCTCTTTACCCCCTTCTTCCCTTCGCGGGTCTAGGGGCCTAAAGGCGAGGTGGGCAGGGCCTACCCAATGGCCCCGCCCGTCTCCTCTGGCTCCGCCCCACTACGTCCCCTCTGCGCCCCTCCGCGCTCGGCGCTGGGATGAGGCAACCACGTGACCTCACATCCGGGCGCGGGAGTCCCGAGCTTGCCGCGCGCTCCCCCGCCCGCCCGCTCTCCCCGCAGCGTGATCTGGGCGCCACGGCGGAGGGGAGGGGGGTTCGCTTCGTCGCTGGCGGCTGGAGGCCGTTTCGGAGTGCAGACCGCCCCCCTCCCCTACCCGCCTACCCCCGTCACCGTCCCTTGTTCTCGCTCTGTCCGGCTGCAAGCAGCCGCCGCCGCGGGCGCCGAGGAGGAGAACGCGGACACCCCTGTGCCCGGCTCAGCCAGGGCCTGGCCGCGGCGCCGCCCTCCCCTTACCCCGAGCTGCAGCGCGCGGTGGCGGCGGCGGCGGCGGCGCCTCGAATCCGAGCGACCCGCGGCCGCCGGCGCCCGCCGAGGGCGATGGGGCTGGGCTGAGGCGAGGCGACGGCGGCGACAGCAGCGGGCCCGGGCCCCGGCCCCCCGCGGTCCCTCGGCTGCTCCGGCCCAGAGGCCGCCGAGGAGACGGCGCAGCGGCGGCGGGTGAGTGGTCGGGCTTTTCCGGGACGCCGGGGGCAGGGTGAGCGGGGCGCGGAGTAGGTGGGTGGTGGTGGTGGTGATGGTGATGGCGGGGTGTTGAAAGAGAAGAAGGGTGTTGTCGGGTACCAGGTGAGCTTCTGCTGGGCTCCTTGGTCCAGAATCCCGCATCACTTCCCGGGGAAGATGAGTGGGATGGGGAGGGGAGCGCTGAGACCGCGGAATGTCTGCCTGGGACAGGTGAGGCGAGAAAAAGGGATACACGTTGTGGGTGTGAAGGCCTGGTTCGGACACGCTGCTTGCGTTGGGACTGGGAAGTAAGGATGGTGGTCCAGCCCTTTTAGAAAGTCTGGCAGATGGGTGGTCGAAGGGCAGGACGCTTGATGTGTTCTGCGGGTGCTGCCTGAAGGCATCTTGAGTTCGTCCTTAACGTCGGAGTAGTAACAGCTTCCTGCCATCACCGCATTTTATGGATGACTAAGTGAGGCCCAGAGAGGAAAAGTGACTTCTTAATTGGTTAAGGCCTCTCACTTTGACTCTGTAAGTGAAGACTAGAAAAACCCCGGGGTTCTCTCCATTACTTGCGTGGCCACTCTCTTTATGGCCTTTAATTCTCCCCATTGCCTTCACAGAGTTAGGTTTGGCAGTGTATCTTTTAGAGGGGTTGTGGCTGGGGGAATGGATTGGAGATTGACAACAACTCGATTCGGGGCTTCCCAATTTGGAAAGATTTTGTGACAGGTGTTTATCATTTCCTCTTCCCATAGATCTGACAGAAACATCCTTGGATCTTGGTGTCTGGACATAGGAGGTATGAGTCACTCACGTAATTCACTCCTTTTAATTGTCAGTGTCTTAAAGCTGTATTTAGTGGTTATATTAGTGCAAAATGAATGGGTATGGAGTCGTAAATCTAGAAACAGAAACCTATGTTTCCTACTTATGATTCTGAACTGTACAAGTAGAACACTTGTGTATGTAATGATTATTTTAGATCTATGAGTCAGGAAGTTAGAATTTTTTTAAAATCCAAGAAATGCAGGAATGTTAAAGATTATTGCAAAGTGAATACTGTGTTCTAAAGGCTTCGTCGCTAAAGTGAAGGTGTTTTGATTTCCTTATCTTTTAAGGGGTGATTTCATAGTTAAAAGTGCTCTGCCTTTTGTTAGATCTCAGCCTCCTTACCAAGGTACATATATTTTATGGCATTCTTTTCTCCGGAGGATTGTTGCTTTGCAGAATAGGCTGCAGATGCCAAAATAAATCTGTTCCGGTATTCCATTCTGGTTTAGCAACCCTTTTTAAAATGCAGATCAGTTCCTGGAAGTTCCAAATAGTAAGCCTATTATTAATTGTGATGCAACTTTACTTTTGCTACTATCCGTTTGCATTACTCGTTCTAGATCAGGGGAGCCTGAGATTGTTCAGTGAGATTTTTGAACTTTGTTAGAACAACAAAGCTTGTTTTTGCTCAGGGCATTGGGTAGGAAAAGTGATGACACTGGTTATCTCAGTTTATAAGTAGTATAGCTATAAATGAAAATACAAAGTTGCAATTTATTTTGAAAATACAGTTGACAGGCTTCAATTTGATGCAGTGTTCAAATTATGTAGTGAGAGGGCTGATTTCTTTGTCTAGGTCAACCAGAATACTTTACTTGGGGTATGCTTGGTTATTAAAATTTTAATTTGGTTTGATTTGAGATAAATATAATGAATTCTGGGCGCCTGGGTGGCTCAGCGGGTTAAAGCCTCTGCCTTTGGCTCAGGTCATGATCCCAGGGTCCTGGATCGAGCCCCACATCGGGCTCTCTGCTCGGCAGGGAGCATGCCTCTCTTCTCTCTGTGCCTGCCTCTCTGCCTACTTGTGATTTCTGTCTGTCAAATAAATAAATAAAATCTTTAAAAAAGAAATAAATTCCTACATAGGTAGGGGAATAGTTTTATAGTATTTAGAGCAAAGCTTTGTTAAGCCTGAATGTCTGAACATTATCTTCTGATGAGTTCTGTGTGGTTTTGCCTATTAGTTATTAGAGCTGAAATATTTCCGTTGGTTTAGTTAGCCCTTAACGGTTGTCTCATTTAGGTACATCAGTTTTCCACCTGTGCCGTATTCCAAATATGGATTCTTATGTGGGTAATAATTGTGTGTTGGTAGCTACAACATAATGTAATATAGAAAAAGCACGGACTTGGGAAATCAGACTGGAGTTTGATTTTTGACTTTCCGTAACTAGCTCTTTGACTAGGCTTTGAATTAAACACTTAACATGGATTATCTCATTTAAACTGTATTTTACAGATGAGGAAACTTGAGGTTCAGAGATGTTAAGTTACCCAGAGTCATAGACAGCTAACATGGTAAACCTAGAAATAGAAACAGCTTGTCACATGCAGTAACAGAGCTAGATTCGTGCTGTTTTCAGAGGCCCTTACATTGTAAGTTGCTTAACTTCCCTGATTATCATCATCTTCTAATTCTTTTTTTTTTTAATTTTTAAATTTTTTATTAACATATAATGTATTATTAGCCTCAGGGGTACAGGTCTGAATTGCCAGGTTTCTAATTCATTTTTATTGAAAACAAATATTAATACTTAGCTCAGAGAATTTTGAGGATTAGCTGAGAACTTACATTCTCCCTTTCCCTCTTTTATTCTCTATACTAAATTGAGCTCTGCTTATATAACATGGTGGTCTTGTAACCACTGTGAATATAAGGTTTTAAAAATGTGAGTACACTTTATTCCTACGATTAATAGCAGTCCTAGGAGTTGGGCCATGATCAGTGATATGGGGACATCCTGTGAAACTTTATTCTGTATTTTTTTTTCCCCAATGGTCCAGGTAATGGTGGAAGTAAGAACTTTATACTTGAATGACAGCATAATGGTTGTAATTACTAAAAATCTGGGAAGACAGAAATAGAATTTTAAAATGATCTTGATTACTTGGTTTGTCCAACGCTGGATTCTGTGCATTGGTATATTCGGTAACCTAAATTAACTATATATGTAATAAGTGGAAGACATTGTGAATGGAACACAAGTTGAATAGGAGTTAGCAGCTTAACACTTACTAAAGATAACACTCTTAAACCAGTTAATTGTGGTTAGGTAAAAGAAGATAGTCTGGTGCTTGACATCTAACATCAGCAGAAGGTTTGTTCCAGTGATGAAATGCATTCTGAATGTGCTGTATAGCTCTTCTAGTTAAATCTGCACCCCAGAGATAGCTGATGGGATTTAATCTTTGGTTTTGGGAGATAGTTTGTGTGAAATGAAGCTAACTGGATTATGGAGAGAATGAATCTGTAGTCACTAAAACCATGTTCTAATTATTAACCCATCTAACTAGTCCAGGAAACATGAGAGAGGCAAGGAAATAATTGTTAGAGAGCCTTACTTGAATTTTGTTGACTTCATTTTTTGAGATAGAGAAAGAAAAAGAGCATTGGAATTAAAGCACATCTTTTAAGATTTATGTAAAGAAGTAAAAGTTCTGGGTTTATTTAATTAGGGAAAAGTAGGTGGTATCTGTGGGGTAGAATGTCCTAGACTTAATGGTAACTAGTTATTATATAAGCCATGAGTTAAAAAAATTTGTTGATGGTGGGGTTATGGACATTGGGGAGGATATGTGATATGGTGAGTGCTGTGAAGTGTGTAAACCTGGCGACTCACAGACTTGTACCCCTGGGGCTAATAATACATTATATGTTTATAAAAAAATAAATAAAAAAACGTTAGTTATTAGTGGGGAGCCTGGGTGGCTCAGTTTGTTAGGTGTCCGACTCTTGATTTTGGTCAGGTTGTGATCTCAGGGTCATGAGATTGAGCCCTGTGTTGGGCCGTCTAATTAAAAAACAAAACAACCCACCAAAGATTTATATTAGTAAGATTAAAAATAGAGATGATGAAAAAAAATAGAGATGATGTGAAATGTCATGAATGAATGGTAATAAAAATTACTACTTTTGTAATCATTAGTTAAAAAAAGTCAGGAGGGGGAAGATGGAATGAAGGAAAGGGAAAGTTGATCAGATAGTCAAATGTCTGAGAACGAGGAAAGTTGAAGGTTTGGATTGCTGAAGAGTTTCCATGGGACAGTTCTCTCTCTCGAGAGTTCTCTCGAGAGAACGGTCCCATCAGAGGATCTGGTAACACCTTAGACCGAAAGACTCATAATGGGGTCTTTGTTAGGTCTAACTAGTAAAACATTAACTCAGATAGCAAACTACAAGACTGCCAAATTTAAAAAAGGAGTGTACTGCAGGGCATCTCCCCAGTGGAAGAGGCCATATAGATCTTTGGAAACAGAGCTCCACAGAGACCTGTTTCTTTGAGGGTATAGATGAAGATACATGTTTTACCTCTTCCTGTCACCCGAGACCACTGATACTAGTATGAACTGAGAATCCAATAAGAAGTACCCCCCTGTCTATTTGTGTATGTGTAGGGATTAAGTGAGTTGTAATCAGTCTCTTAATTGAAATTCCTCTCTTCGCTGACCTTCCTGCTTTTAAATGATCTATTGATACTCAGGTAAGAAAATGAATTTCTGAGAAAAGTGAGTTAACTATGTAGAATTTATGATTACATGATGTGGAACTTGATGATGTATGTAGATTTTCTCAGAAGCTTTAAATAAAAATATTAGAGGACGCCTGTGTGGCTCAGTTGGTGTTGCATGCAACTTTTGATCTTGGGGTTGTAAGTTTGAGCTCCACGTTGGGTGTAGAGATTACTTAAAATCTTGAAAAAAATAAAAATATTTGTATCTGTTTTGAGGTGGGTGGTATGAAAGTTCTACCTCTGATAGCAAGCTAGATTAATTGACTCCTCTATTTTATTTGGTTTTTACCTGTTTTCTTCACAAGAAATTTGTGAGTTGGATATTGAAATAATGAAGTGTGAGATTGAAAAACAATATGGTGGATCGTCACAGATAGGTGATAGACTAGTCTCTTCTTTTTACAGAAAAGGAAACGTGTGGAGAATAAGTGATAGCATACCAGTAAAGGACCTGATGTTAGACAGTGTTTTTCGGTAGGTTATTCTTTCCACTCTTGGCTTGCTTTTGTACTCTGGTAATGGCTCAACTCACTACTCACTGTTGTTGTTTTGTTTTTTTCCCCTACTGAGAACCAGTGTTAAAGATTGCTTTTGATTACGTGGCAGCCTTTTTTTTTTTTTAAAGATTTTATTTATTAGAGAGTATGAACAGGGGGAGGGACAGAGGGAGAGGAAGAAGCAGCAGGGATCCTGATTTGGAGCTCTGTGCCAGGACCCAAAATCATGACATGAGCCAAAGGCAGACACTTAACCGACTGAGCCACCCGGGTGCCCCACATGACAGACTTTTACTACATTTTTATTTTATTTTAAAATAAATCATGGAATAGTTCCCACATGTACCTAGTGTGCTTTCTTCTTCTTTTTAAAAAGATTTTATTTATTAATTTGAGAGAGAGAGTGATTGGGAGAGAGAGCATGAAGGCGGGGGTGGGGAGAGGGAGAGGGAGAAGCAGAAGCAGACTCCTTGCTAAGCAGGGAGCCCGATGTGAGGCTTGATCCTCTGACTATGGAACCATGACTGGAGCCAAAGGCATATGCTTAATCGACTGAGCCATCCATGTGCCCCAAGCATGCCTTCTAACAGCGTCCCTGTTGCTCTCCTTTTTCCCATTTGTGAAATAGGATGAATAATGCATTAGTTATTAACTTACTTTGATATACAAGACACATGTTTGGGTTCTTAATTCTTTGTAATTTAAAGAGCTGGGTAAAGTGAAATCATACCTTATATATG